CCTCACTACAGTCATCAACAAGACTCCGAAGCAGTTTAGCAGACGAGTCGAGATTCAAAGGTTTGAGAGGTAACTTACATACGTCTGGCGACACGAATCCAACATGTCTTCGAGTAGTGATTATTAACTTTACATTAGGGGCAGATTTCACGAGCCATTGAGCGAATTCATCAAATTCCTCGCCTTGTATATTCTCTGTATTGTCTAGGACAATGACGGTCGGGATATTTCGCTCCGAGAGTTTACGCTTCGCAAGAGACATAAAATTAGCGGTTTCCGAATAGGTGCGACTACTCAATCGATCGAGAATCTCACTGCAGATGTTTATGAGCTTCTGATGACTTTCTACTCGAATATGTGTTACAAACTGGTCACCCCTTTGCTTTAACAAGTGACTTACACGGATTCCCACTTCAGTCTTCCCCATTCCTGGCATAGAAAGAAGAACAACCATACGAAAGGTCTGCAGTTTCTTTACGATTTTATCTACGTCCGCGTCTCTTCCAACGAAGTGTGCGGTTAAATACGGAAGATTTCGAGTTAAACCACCCTGCGACGACGGTATACCTAAAATACAAAAAAAAAAAAGGAAAAAGAAAAAGTTTGAACAGATACAAGAACGGTAGCCGACCACAACAGTGTCCCAAAAACAAGTTGAGGATATACCAGTAGAACCTTAAATATAAGAACCCAAATAGGGGCCTTAAAGATTGTGCTAGTGCAATTTTTTGGCATAATAACATACATGACAAAATTACACTAATCCACGCATCTGAGAAGAATGATGTGGCTATCAAAGAGAATAACAAGGGACATTAAACAAAACACAAGGTTATGGAGGTTTTTCAATGTGGGTTTTTTTTTTTTAGCCAGGCAGTAACCATATCTGGGAGCTTCTCCAGGCAGAATTCAAGTTTGTAAGTGTCGAGTCAAGACACTTTTGGAGGTCAAGAGCATTTTTAGCAAGATAAATCTTGAACCCCATATTGGGGCAGCTCACTGCCTTGATGAATTGGCTAAGGAATACTATCAAACGCAAGCTTTATTCTATCAAATCTAGCTTTATCATGATTGGAGCAGTGTAATCCTATTAAATTAATAGTACCTGTACAATTTGAGAAAGAACTGTGGGAGCAAATGGTGGGGAAGCTATCAAAGCTTTTTAGAGTCATATGGTGCCTGAACACCCAAGTGGAAAGATTCATGAAGAGGTTACTCATGCCTGACTAAGCCTTTAAGAACCACAATGGAATTCAAGGACCTTCCATGTTAAATTAATTTAATGTACTCTTACAAAATGCAAAATAGTCTTACAGGTTAAAGGATACACTTGATTTGCTTGTTGTGTTTTAATATTACGAAAGATATGACAGTGCTCATAGATGCATTGTAATATGACAGAAGAGTAAGTGACCGTGGTATCACAAGTTTTTGTCTGTTAACCAATGTTATCTTCGGTGGATCAATTCC